GGCGTGACCGACGCGTCGGTCGTCGGGCTCGGCGACGGTGTACGTCAGCTCGACGTTCCCGACGCGCCCGGGCTCTACCCGCTCACGAACGCCGACGCGGCCGCCCGGTACATCGCCGACTTCGTCGCGGACGGGTCGTAGCGGCATCCCGACCCTGCCGGCTTGACGCCCCGCACACACAGCGTCGCCTCAGGAGGTCCTCAGTCGATCCGCAGGTGATCACCAGCCTCCCGCGAGGCGGGGCCGGAAGACTCGGACGTGTCAGACAAAACGGTCATACGTCCCAGTTCGACCCGAGGAGTGGCTCGTGACCATCAACGAAGTGCTCTGGATCCTGTGCGGTGTCGCCCTCGTCGCGATGGCCCTCATCGCGATGTTCTTCGGCAGCGACACCCGGACCCGCGCCCTCGACGACATCTACGCCCGCCGTGACCAGCGCCTCGGGCTCCGGACCGCGAGCTCTGCGGCCGACGATGTCGCCCCGGTCACGTCATCCGCCCCGACCGCACCGGCGGCCCGACCGCTGACGGCCTGATCGTCCCTTCCCCGGTGGTCGACACCGGGACGCGAGGTGCCCCGGTCGCGTGGCGGGCCCCAGGAGGGTTCCGCCGCGGCCGGGTCGCCGACGGTGTCGACCGGGCCGGCCTCACGCCCGGAGGCCGACCGCACCCCAGCTGTTCGACCCGGCCGCCTGCTCGGCGGTCACGGGGACGTCGGGGCGCCACGCCGCGCTGGGCACGACGCCGGGCTCGAGCAGGGTGTAGCCCGCGAACAGGGCCGCGACCTCGTCGGCCGACCGCATCGTCATCGTCGGCGTGGGGGTCCGGGCCAGCACCGCGCGGAACGCCTCGAGCTCGGCGTCGGTCGCGGCCATCTGGCACCCGTTGGTGACGACGAGGGCGCTGCCCGGCGCGCACGCGTCGCGGTACGCGGCCACGAGGGCGCCGGCGTCGTCGACCTCGAGGATGTCGAGCAGGGCCACGACCAGCACGGCGACCGGCCGATCGAGATCGAGCAGGCCGCGGACGCCGGGCGCGTCGAGGACCGACCGCGGGTCGCGGACGTCGGCCTCGGTGGCGGTGACGCGCGGGTCGCCGTCCAGCAGGCCGCGGGCGTGGTGCACCGCCACCGGGTCGATGTCGACGTAGGCGACGCGGGCCTCGGGGTTCACCCGGTGCGCGATCTCGTGGACGTTGCCCACGGTCGGGATGCCGGAGCCGAGGTCGAGGAACTGGTCGACGCCCAGCGCGCAGAGCTCGGTCACCGCCCGCCGGAGGAACGCCCGATTGATCCACGCGTAGTCGCGCTCGCCCGGGAACGCGTCGAGCAGGACCTGGGCGGCCTCGCGGTCGACCTGGAAGTTCGCCGAGCCCCCGAGCACGTAGTCATAGATCCGCGCGATGCTCGGGGTACTGCCGGGGTCGGAGGGGTCCATGTGGGTCATGGTGGCCCGCCGGGCCCGCCCCCGGCCAGGGCGACGAGCCCGTCGATCGCGAGCGGGTAGCCCGTGACGCCGAAGCCGACGACCACTCCGCGCGCGACCGGCGAGAGGAAGGAGTGGTGGCGGAAGGGCTCGCGGGCGTGGACGTTCGACAGGTGCACCTCGACCACGGGGCACTCGCTGCCCTCGACGGCGTCGTGCAGCGCGATCGAGGTGTGGGTGTAGGCGCCCGCGTTGACCACCGCGCCCACGCTGCGCCCGTCGCGGGCGGCGGCACCGACCTCGTGGATCCAGTCGACGAGCTCGCCCTCGTGGTTGCTCTGCCGGCAGATCGCCTCGAGGCCGTGCTCGGCGGCCCGCGCGGCGCAGCGGGCCTCGAGGTCGGCGAGCGTGGTCGTCCCGTACACCTCGGGACGCCGGGTGCCGAGCAGGTTGAGGTTCGGACCGTGGAGGACGTACACCGAGCGCACGGACGCCATCCTAGGGAGACCGCACGAGCCCGACGGCGGCGAAGCCGCCGATGTCGGCGACGTCGGGCCGGCGGTGGGGCCAGTGGACGTAGTCGACGACGCCCGGCGGGACGAGGTCGACGCCCGCCATCATGGCCGTCACCTCGGCCCGGCTGCGCAGCACCAGCGGGGTGGCGCTGTCGCGGTAGGCGTTACGGGTGGCGCGCAGCGACCGGGCGACCTCGGGGTCGGCGTGGTCGTCGGCGACGTGGCTGACCGCGACGACGCTGCCGGGGACCAGACGGTCGCGGTAGCGCGCCAGCAGGTCGGCGACGTCGCCGTCGACGAAGTGCAGCACGGCCATCGCGAGCAGCGCGACGGGCCGGGTGAAGTCGACGAGCCCGGCCACGCCGGGTGCGGCCAGCACGCTGTCGGGATCGCGGATGTCGGCGCGGGTGACCGTGACGCCGGGATGGTCGAGGGCGGCGAGGATCTGCTCGGCGTGCGCGACGGCGACCGGCTCGAGGTCGACGTAGGCGACCCGGGCCCCGGGGTCGACGGCGTGGGCGACCTCGTGGACGTTGCCCACCGTC